CTAGTCACTTGATAACAGATGGCAAACAACTAAGAAGGTGGCATATGCAATCTGGTGCAACAGAACTGCTGGCAATTTAGTCAGCAGGGGTGCTGCTGCTGCTTGGATTTTCCTTAGATTTTTCCAGCTTTTACTTAGGCTGAGTATGTATGTTATGTATGATGGTACAACTTTTTTTAGATCACTGCTTACAGAATCTTCTGGTGTTGGTACAGTGTTTGTAAAAGGTCTGGACAAGTAAACTCAATTTTATCAGACAAGGATAAGCTAAAATTGAGTTAACATGTTCTGAATTATTTTTCTTACTGTAGCTACTAGGAAGTGATGTGTCTGCAAATCTGTCTACAGAGATAAGCAACGATGAACCAGAGAAGAAGAAAAAGAAGCTAAAAAAATAGTTGTTTATAGAAGTTAATAAAAAGTCACACATGGATGAATTGTATTTACATGTTTTTTTCCCTATGGGCAAAATGCTAGAAACAAATTTTGTTTACTTTTAATACACATTTTAATAATTTGTAAAACTGGCTTTTTAAAAATGTTTTTACAAATACATGTATGGAAGGGAACAACAGTTTTAAAACAAAGTATGTCTACAGTTTCATCTTGTACATGAAAATAAATGTCTGCAAAAAGTGAAGGAAGAGTTGTTGTATTTCTTGTTTTGTTTGTTGTTTGGGTTATTTTTTTTAACAGCCCCAAGGCCATTAAAGAGCCTGGCAAAAGTTAAGTCTCTTCAGTGCATTCTCTTTAGCTCCTCAGAACTGAAATTTGTGTTGGTTACTAGTCTTGAAGTGCTGGCAGAGTTTACTTTTGAGGGTTAAATTCCACAGGAGCACACTTCTTTCTGGGATAGGTCTTTCATGTCAGACTAGTGGTGTGTATTTATGCACACGATACACAAAGAGACAAGCCATATCATAGAAGTGCATTAGTCTTTGTCGTAGACCTTAAAGCAATTTAAAATCATGGCTTAGCCTCTGATGAACTACCTTAAAAAAGAATGGAAACCTGATATTTGTATTGCACAAATATCCACAAGTTACAAGTTTTGCACTGATAATACTAGCTTGTGTTGCCAAGATTCTGGTAAGCTAGACTTACTAGTTAACTGGACTTCTCAAAAAAAAAAAATCCTCTTCTGTGCATTAAACTGCATTGTCATATTCAAGCTCCATCACCTGGCTTTGCAGCCATAAAGCATGTTTTGTGTGCTGTGAGGACTGAAGCCATTTCAGGTGTGCACCTAGACTTGATGCTGAACTCCCACCACAGGGATGAGGCAGATCAAGCTTTCTTTGAGGTGGTAACTAGAATTCTGCAAGTTCATGTCACCAAAACTATCCTCTAAAGTGCCTGGGATTATAGTAGTTTTCATAGACTGGTTCTGCTTATGCCAATTCCTAGCTCTCAAAGCCAAGAAACCGCAATCCCACATACTGCAAGTGTTCCTCAGCCATCATTTAAGAGTTACACCTCATGAACTTGTGGTTTAGCCACTTACTCCTCAGTGGTTTCCTTGGGTAAATCAATCAGTGGGTCACAGTTGAACAATACATGGTTGTCACTTGGCCATATTTACTCATCTCCCTGTACACTGTCATTATCATTAAAGGATTGGATCAGATTTATGAAGTACATTTTCTAAAAGGAGACAATTAACACATTTAACTAATTGCAACAGAAAATCCCAATCCCCATGAATGAGATGTTTTAAGGTTTATATGGAAACTTTAAAAATTAGTTTCAAGAAAGCTGTACAGAACACTGGTGCTACACTTCTAATTCAGCACCATAAATTATAATAACTGAGCCCATTTCTTAACTGTATGTATGAGGCAAAAGCTTGCCAAGCTCCTTGCTGGATCACCTTCCTGTGTGCCTCAAGGCCACTCACCCCCACACTATATACATATATGAGGTACAGCCAGCACTCAAATGAAAGATGATGCAAATAATAGCAAAAAAATCCCTCTAGGTAAGTAAGAGATGTCTTTATTCTGTTTCAATACTCAATTTACAGTTTTATGTGTGAAAAAAACTCATTAAAACTACTGAAGTTAATTTAATGTAAACAACGACCATTTTGTGCAATGTGTGCCAACCAATGCGTGAAGTACAACTAGAGAAACAGAATGGTCAAATGACTTCCACAATAATTTGCACAATACATTTCTCCTACAAAACAATTATACAAACATAAAAATGCAGATTTCCATAAAATAAATAATTCTCATCTAATTGAGGACTACAACACAGGACAGACAATACAGGCAATTTAGTTGGGAGATTGCTTCTCACATTCACCCATTTCTGCTCTTAGTTCCCCCTTCAAGCAAATGCTTACACAGGGTACAAGTAAACATTCCTAGTGACGGATTTTTTAAAATGAGTTAATATTTTGAAAGCCTCTGATCATTGAATATACCATTATAAAGAAAAAAAAAATAATTAAAAATAAAACCAAATCTTAATTATGCATACCACACCAAACAGTTCAGAAACAGATCATAACTTGGCTCATCCTGCTTCTTTTCAACTTCCCCTTTTCAATTAATACTACTCCTATTTCTAGTAATCACATTTGCAAAAATAAATCCTTTGTACAGTCCAGAAATCTGAAATTCACTCTTTCAATTGATTACTGTTAGGATTATTATAAAAAATGGTAAAGACACAAGGTCATAACTTTTAAATCTCAGACAAGTTGTGTCTTGCTTTTGAGCTACAAACTTTACAAGCTAATGCTAAAGATGATTTTGAAGGCCCTATTCAATAAACTGATTTTCCAGAAGTTGTAAGTTCATTCTCTACTTTTGACACAATTCATCCCCTGAAAATTATGGTTTTAGTGTCTTCCCAGCTTTTAGTAGGGCCAGGTTTTGAGATAATTAAATAGATAATTTGGAACATTAAGTTAAATTACACGCAATCTGATACGTGTTAGAGAAATACTGATTAAATTGCTATATGAGTAAAAATAATGCATGCTGTGTTTGCTGGTTAGAAATCTAAAGCAATGTTTTTAATTATTTTTGAAATGTGACAAAGCCAAATTATGCTTCATTTATGGCACAGAAGTTTTTTCTTTTAAGTATATATTTCAGACAGCCTTCACTAATGAATTATTAATGAAAATATTTCAAGTGTCCTATTCAAACACTTGCACAGAATCCTCAGGTCTAATGCATTAACTGCTTTTTCATGCTCAGCCAGTTCTGTTCATACCCTGCCCTTTAGAGATTTTTAAAAAATCTTGTCAGTTGCCTTCAAATTTAGGTCTGACCAACTGTTTCAAGCTTATTGTGCCAAGTGTCTGTCACTTTGATGAAAAGACAGCAAGACTGCTTCACCTGGAGCACATACTACAATGGACGTGATTAATCCAAGGAAGTTTGCTTCAGAGCTCTACAAACACAGAGCTCTGAAATACCAGAATTTCCCTTATCCTTTCTTCCCCTTAGTCACCTACAGCTAGAAGATGAGACCATATGGATTTGTCTTTTTCTCCATTCACATTTTAAAATTTCAGAAGGTTCTTCCAATCAAATTTAACCACATCTGATTTGACTAGGCAAAGGGAGTTCTGGGCTTCCAGACCCTCCTCATTCCATTTGTTCATTGATGGTTTTCTTTGAAGTGTCAAGAGTTTGTTTATATTAGTACTTTTTGCAGTAAGTGGCATGAAAAAGTATATTTTTAAATGCTTATCTAAATATTTTTGGTAATTTAAGTGAGCAACATAATAGTACTTGGATTAAACATAAGAGGGAAGTAAAAGTGTAATGGTTTACTTTAACAGAAGGGATGCTGCACCATTCTCTTACTGATGTACCCAGAGAAATTAACCTTATTGCAGCTTCTTATGTTCCTTCAAAAAGGTGTCAGAGCATCCATTCAGACACAAGGGTTCTGAGGAGACACTGGTGGAGTCAAGTGACCAACTTCAAAATTAGTACTAATACAACTACTAAAGTAACACTGTAATTTAAAAGTAACCAATTGTACATCTTAAGTACAAGGAAAGCTAACTGATAAACAGTTTTAAGAGTAAGAACTGTAGTGGGATGAGATTATGCTATTTTCCTATAAAGAGATATGCATCACCTGTCCTTCCATTTCTGTCAAACTGAGGAAAAAACTGATCATTGCTAAAAGACTTCTTTTGAGGTACACCTCATTTCATTACTAACATAATTAAACTTTTATTTTTAAATGGTGGAAAAGTATATCATTTCCATAACTGAAATGGAGTTTTCATACAGCTGTTCACAAGGAAACCTTAATTAAAAGGACTAGCCTGGTATTCAAATCAAAACACCTATATTTTAACAGTTTTCATTCTGCTATAAAACATACATGTATTCCACAGACCCATTTCTGGAACTCTAGTTTTATTCTTTCCTAGTGAAAGTCACAGGTGAGTTTCATCACTGTTACTTTAGGCTGACACTGACAGACACTCTCCCCTCTCCTGCTTCCCCAACCCTGCTCTCATGACAGCCCCAGCATTTCACTTCTGCCCAGTAAACTTTCTTAGTACCAGTGCTAGTATTCCTGAAGCCACACGATTAATCTGACTGGAGAAAAGGCAATCTAAAGCTAATACTCCCTTCCTTCCTCTCTCCCCCAAAGAAAAAACTCCCTTATGCCTGTAGGATTTGTGTCTTAAAATATAGGTGTTTTTGCAGTTACATTGGTTCCTATGCAGGTTAGCCTATGTTTGCTCAGCTGTCTAAAATACTCCTCTTATAGCTGAAGTTAATGTCCAAACTTTCAGAAGAGGGCTCCTCAAATGAAACAGTTCTGAAAAAGCACTATGGTTTCTTTGTACCTAGTCTAGCAGACTTGATTTTCAAAAGGATCACTTAATGATACCAGTAAGTTTGTTATTAAGACCTGAAGAACCCCACGTTTTTAAAAAACTCCCTTAATATACACAAATTTATTACAATCACATTAAAAAAAAGCAAAAAAGTATGTATAATCCAGGTAAATGAGGTCATATATATGTAAATTTATTTGCTAACACAACTGAAGTTCTCCATCAGAAAACTACATACCATTTTTGTGAAATCCCTGAACTTGATTTTCATTTTTATGTTTCCAGGCAGAAATGTTGCAAGTTGCATTTTGACCAAATACTGTACTATGTATTTTTGCTTTTTGGAAACAGGATTGCTTCTCTGGAGATTTTGCTCTCAGCAACTGATGGTCCTTATGGTTTAAAACAGAACACTCCTAGGTTAACAAGGAAAAGTTAATTTTTAAAACCATTTTCACAAATAATCCCTGAAAGAAACATGATCCAAACTTACTATCTGAAAATTTCAAGTTACAGTCAGTACCTTAGCCTCCCAGCTCTCCCCTTCTGAAATGAAAAGAAATTAAAGGTAATGTTTTCTCTGCACAAATCTTTGAGATGTGCTGCCAGCAAGAACCTCCTTTCAGATCACATGCTCCGAATGAATGATAATGTCAGCGTTTTTTTCTTCGAATTTTCTGAGGGTTCTCAGTTGTGAATGAAGCTCTTAATGCCGCCACACTTACATCCCAATCCAAAATGCAAAGTTTGGATTAGTCAGGGTCTAGCAATCGAAAGACTAGCAGAGGGAGAAGAGAGCTACATGGCACTGGTGAGTCTCTAGGACACACTGGATATTACACAACTCATTCTGATCAATACATTCACACATATAATCCACGTCCAAGAGAATGGCTGATGGAAGACCTCAGAGTAGATGGGTATTTTTAGAAGTTAAAAACAAAACATCCATCTATTCTTCCTGTGAAGGCACTCTTAAAGGAGCAGAGTTTAAAATGTGATGTCTATGGTCTACAATGTACCATCAATCTCTTTTTACCTTGGCAGAGGAGTGGCTATTAGCATTTCAAATACAGCATTGAAGTCAGGATTGAATGGGCTTGACTTATTTTATAATCTGGTACTACTGGTCAATACTGTCTCCCCTTCAGAATATAATGACACTAAATAGTAGACCATAAACTATTAAGTTTATATGACTGTAAGACCATAATTAACAAGTAAGAGGAGATGAACTTTACTCTCTCCTCCAAAGAAATAAGCATTTCCATTCTCTGGAAGAAGTAGAACTCATTTCCATCAATCACAAGAATAAGAGCTTGGGAGTCTTGCCAGATATGTACTGTTTTCTGTTGATAGGTCAAAGATCTTGTACTAAAAAGACTGTACCCAAGCTTAAAATTTCCCACCAAATCAGTATGCCAGGTATGGTCCAGAAAACTTGAGGCTAGTTTACGAAAGGAAGTGGCAGAGAATTTTTCCCAGAAAACATGCTTCTCCCAGGGCCCACGTTTAAAAACTTGGCAATAAAAAAACTCAAACAGAAAGAACAACAATATATTAGAAGCCGTGAGCAGCCTCAAAACCTCAGTTTCCTCTGAAACAACCTTTACTGTTCTCATAGAACACATTATTTTACTGTCAATTTACAGTATTTGTCCTGTGATTAGTCTTCGTTTTCAACATAATGCTTGAAATGATGCCACGTTAACATGCTATTATCCCCTAACGATATTTTCCCTCACTCAAGCTCTCTGAAATGGAATAAAACAGAGAACAAATGCTTTAGATGGGAAGTGTATCACTTTTGTGTCACAATTTAAACTCCTACCTTTGTTCTTAGAAGCTGAGATTTATTCTGAAACACATTAGTGTTCATATCATTTTCTCTGCAACTGTTTTCAGCCCCCGCAGAATCCATAATGCTGCTTCCACATGTCTGTGTATTATAACCACTGTCCACCTGGAATCAAGAAGAAGGGCTTTAAAAACGTGCTGCAATTTTTTGCAAATTAACCCCTCAGATTCTCATACCTCATATGCCTTGCAGTTGATTTACAGAACTTAAACCAACAAACCAGCTACCATCAGTCAAAAGCAAATTGTGAATGGGCCTGTCAGAATTATTTTAGGTTGAGTAAAACGTGTTACTGTACACAGTAACATAAAAATGCTGACTTCACTGAGAGGATAAAGGGGATGGGAAGGAATAAAATTCACAACACAACACACATCACACCCAGTAAGATCCACCAATTACTTCAAGAACAGTTTATATACTAAAAGTTAATATGTTGAGCTGAATCTTACAGCGAAGCAAAGAAAGTTCAGTTTTTACCTGAATACTACTGCTGTCACAAGGAAGTGCACTGCTTTCTGCAAGAGGTGACATGCACATGCGAGAGTTTTCAATGCTGAAAGTAATCCCTGTCATAAAACTGGTCATTGGTGCATTGCTGTTGCCAACTGTTTCTTTTATCCAAGTGTTCTCCTCTGACACTTCAGCTGCATCAGCCATATCTACAGTATTATTTTCCTTTGAGCCTTCTATAGCCTGAAATGATGACAACCTTTGATGACAAGTTTCTGTGTGATCTGGTGCAATAGACACAGTTGCTACAACGAGATGTGTACCATGTGCAAAAGTATCACTGTCTTGCTGACGTACGTTTATTCCCTTATCCATTTCTGGGAACAGAGCTTCTGCTGGAGAAGCATTTTCCTTGTCTTCCTCATCCTCACTGTGATTCTCAACTGCAACTGGTATTCTGATGACAGAAGTCTGATACTGTGCAGTTCCTCGACATGCTCCAAGCCTCATGGGTGAACAATTTTTAATTGGAGAGCAACCATCTATATAAGGACTTCTTGTATTTGAGGGTGTCATTCTATTTGAGGAAGAAGGAATATCTGGAGAACGAAATGTAAATTGTCTTTGGTCTGTAAAAAACAACAAGGTTATTCTATTAGATGGTGGAGTTGAAGTCATCATCCTCAAAGACCCAAAGTCCTTTGAATAATTATAGCCAAGTACACAGTATTTCACTGACCACTGTCTCTTGGCTTGAAGGCCTTTTAAAAAAGTTAAACAAATAACCAAAAAAACCTCCACAAAACCTGCCACCACCACAAAGCCAAAAAATATCAAGACATTTAAAGTATTATGGTAAAGGCAGAGTTGTATCCCATTTTTACCACCAACTTGCTGTACCAGAGGCCTTGAATTTTCAAATGCCACTACCACACAGTGTTCACAGGAAAATGAGCAAAGGATGTTTCCACGGCTTTTTTTTTTTTTTTCTGAACAAATACAAATGAAGCATTTTACAGGCATTAAAAAAAAATAAAATGGGGTAGCTAAATAGTTTTCAAGAAAAATCAAACAAGTGGGTAAACACCTATGCTATGTCCACATATAATGGTGTTGAAATACCACCAGGCTAATCAGATAAAAAGAATGAATTAAACATGCCCTTAAGCCTTTCCACACAATGGATGAAACATGAAATAATGACATTTTCTAAACCAATGGGAATACAAGATGATTGTGATTTCTTCACAATTAGATATAAGGAAGTCAGACAAAATATAAGGAAGAAATTAATGACTATGAGACACTGGAACAAGTTGGCCAGTGAGGTGGTAGATGCCTCCTCCCTGGAAACATTCACAGTCAGGTTGGAGAGGGCATTGAGCAACCTGATCTAGTTGAAGATGTCCCTGCTCACTGCAGCGTGGTTGGACTAGATGACCTTTAAAGGTCCTTTCCAACCCAGAACATTCTGTGATTCTTCACTAGTCAGTTTAATTTCAAATAATCTTGACTATCACATGATCTGAAAACTCAAGGTAAACACTCTTTGTCCAATTAAAATGCTTCAGGTTGGGCCAAATCAATTGTGACCTGACTTAGTTCAAGAATATGGCTTTGAAACCCTTCTTCACACTAGATTAACCCTTTTAATATTTTTAATTCCTATTAGGTCTCAATTCCTTCCTCTAAAGCATTCTTCCTAGCTATTTTTGCAAGCAGATACATGTCACTGTTTCACATCACTAAGATATTTTACTGCTAAAACAGTAAATGTTTAGCACAGGACACTGCTGGTCTCCAAACAGAAACAAGTTCTAGTAAGAAGGCAGCAGGTTTTTTATAATCAAAATATATACATCAAAAAAGAAGAATACATGAAACCATACCTGACAGAGGTGTCTGTCTTATGTGAAAAGCAATTGGTGAAAAAGTAGGAGAACCATTATGTGCAGGAGATCCCTCTGGAAACGGGGGACTGGTTATACTTCCCAGACTATAAGTCCTTGTACCTCCCTGAATAGGGCTTGATGAAAACTGACCCTTCGGTTAAAAAAAAAAAATTAAAAAAAAAGAATCATAAGCCAAAAAAATAATTTAAAAAAAGAGCATATTTTCTGGTCAACTTTGACCAATATGCACATATAAAAGTTTTCTAATTAAAAACCTTAGTATAGCAGTGCAAAGAAAAACCAATCCTGTACAATGACAATCTCTATCAGTAATTTAGCTTAAACATTCCAGTTACAACTCTTCATTTGGACTTTATACCTGCACATAAGAGAAGAGCAATTGTCTCAAACTGTCACATAATACCAACTAGGGCTATAATACCCATTATATTTAAGAATATGAGAAGCCAAAACAGGGAATTAATGCTATCTTTCCTTAGTATATAGTATTTAATCTCCATTTCTTAAACATACTATGGAAGATGGAAAGATAGCCACTATTTATATTTTAATGGAATCCATATTATCCTAATTATTGAACTCAGCAGCAAACAAAATAATTTTCCTTAAGAGAATAGGTGTGATCTTGCTTAAGTGTATGGTGCAAAAAGTCCCTTCTAGCAGTATAATTATGTTGTAGGAATTCTTTACTAGATTATCATAGTGAGGCCTTTTTTTTTATTTTTTTAAGCTACACTCTTGCTGGGATAACTTTTTGCCATGTACTTCAGCCACCAAACAGATGAAACCACACCACACCTATGCTATGTCAACCTGGGAATAAATTCATCTCACTTAACTGAAAAAAGAGACTTATCGTTCTGGGTTCTAATAACAGTTAATTGATCTGCAATCCATGGAAAAGAAAAAAGCATATTTAGCACTGCATTCAAAGATCCACAAGTCATTTCTACCACAAATGAGTTTATGAGCCATAAGGGAAATTATATCACCTGTTCACATCAACTAGTATTTTAGACAGCAGTTTGTGGATTTAAACAGGCCTTTTCTTGGTATACACATTTTATGAATAAAAAAGGTTTCAACACGTTTCAGCAAGTTTTGCGTATGCAATAATTCCTGCTTCCTTTTCATAATACAAAATGAAAGCATAATTCCTTCTACACCAAACAATAGCAGCACAACACAATAATTTGATACAATAAAGTCAGTAATATTCTTTCAAAACTCTTTTTTGTCTACATAATTTTCTGAATTTGGAATTTGAAAAAAACAAACAAACAAAAATCCTCTATCATAAAGCAGTGGTAGCTAATCACAAACATGGTTGTTCCTCTTGTGAAGTCTGTTGGAACATGGTACAGCCTGCTTGAACTAGAAGATCTTCAAGCTCCCTTCCAACCTAAAACCATTCTATGATTCTATGAAGAACTACTCTTGTGCTAGCTAAGTCACATCCCAGCCAACTCCCAAAAGAGATAACTTACAGAACTAGATGTTTCCAGAGGGCTTCTGCACCGGACTGGAGATATGTCAATTGAACAAAGCACTCCAAGTTGCTGACTACCACATGGACTACGCAAAGAAGGGGATAAACACTCTGATACACTTCCATTCTCTTCTAAAAACAGTTTTCTTCTGAGTGATGAAGAGCTCAGATTTTCTGGGGACTGATCTGCAAATTCATCAGTTCTAAAATATTCACCTAGAAATGTGGAGAAGTAATTTCCAATAAAAATGCAAGGAAAAAAATAATCTTCCACTATGGAGGCATATATAACAAAATTAAAACATGCAATCCAATTTACCAATACAGCAAGGAATTAATCTAATTTAGGCACCTATTCCAAAGGACCATTTATCATTACAAGAAGTCCACTCTGCCTACCAAGATTCCACTTTTGTCTACCATCCTTTAATACTAAAGTCTGCACTTTAAAAAATTATGCAAAATATGGCTAGCATCTACTTACCAGCCTTCTTCCAAAACTGTATTATTCTTCACATTTGAGTTGTGAATAAGAAATTACTATACTACCCAAGCAAGAGGAGACCCCTTTTCAGGTCTCCCATATGTGTTGATGATCATGGTGACTGATATCAAAAGGCAAACCAGATTCTACTCTAAAAAAGTCAAAGCAGTTAGCAGTTTACAGTAAAAGAGCACACAGATCTTAGCAAAGACCCATTAAAATACGCTGAGAGTTACTAGATTATTTTAATTTTTTGTCCTTGTCTTCTTCCAATTTCATATCTATTGTAAGAGAATAAAGTTTTCATGAATTCACTAACTATTCACTGATTGAAGTATTTGTTAAGATCAAACACCAAAGCAACAGATTTGGTTCTGCTGTAATTTTGATGACCCCTATGCAGGATTGTGTACGTCAACACCAGAATAGCAGCATGTAGCCAAAAACCTGAGCTGGCTATGCCCACTATTCCCATATTTGAACTGTAAGATCAGGCCTTTCCAGCCTCTTGCCTGAAGAAGATGGCAGCAGTTGCTTGATATAGCAGTTACAATCAGACAGTTAATTTGGACAGTTAATTTCCTACTCAGAGATAATGGCTTTTTTGCCATCACACACATTCTAATCACTGCCATGGTTTCAGTTAAATTAAAGGCACAGAATTACAGCATACCTTTGCTCAGGGCAAGGTTGGGCTATAAGCCCCATGGCTAGCAATCTAAGTCAAACAGCTCTGCTAAGTTAAATAATTGCTTTATTTGGGGCATGCATGGAGGCATGTGTCTTTTGCTAATTATCTTTTGTGCATTCAAAATTGTTAAGCAATTTCCAATTGCCCTCTGTATCCTTCCTCTTTTATCTTTATATCTACACTCAAATAATATAATTAAGTCAGATGTCCCATGCAACATGCAATAACTATTTACAACACATACATAAAACTTTCATTCACACATTAGGTTTTCAGTATTTCTTAAGACAAAAAAAAACACAACAGCAAACAATACAAAACCAAGTTTTCTATTTAGACTTCCATGATTAAATGTAGATACTATGTGACATACCCAGTATTTTCTCTAGATTAAAATCCACTGGCAAAGACAGTACTGTCTGACAAGAAGCTGCAACAAATAAAACCAGTAAAATTAGCTCCCAGTGACCTTTTACTAAAACTGTAGAAACAAAAATTCCCTTCCAAATTACATTGCAATTGAGCTACTGAAGTTACAGTTGCAATAAAAGAAAGTGTTAATTAAAGCTAGGATTCTGTTTTGACAACACTATACGCAGCACATTCAGGCCTAGAGATAAAAAAACCAACAAGGGTTGTAACATAAGAGTCTCTAGAAGGGCATTCTTGACTGAGGAGACATCTCTGAAGAAAGGAAGGATGCAAAAGGAAACAGAAGATCACCAAAATACCCTGGAGAAAAACATTCATTTATGTAAAACGAAATAGTTTCACTGAAATAGTTTCATTAAGATGTCCTAAGATGTCTGCTATTTATTTGGCAGAGAAAATAGACAAGAACCTCTGATCCTACATGACTAAACAAATTGCAAAGGTTTCTTGAATGAGAAATGGATATTAAAATTAATAGTACCACACAGTTGAAGAAAAATTATTTCTGCAGGAATACTAACAAAAAGATAATTCCCTTTTGAAATTAAATAGCCATTTTAAAAAGGCTTATTTTGCTTCAGAGAAAGCTTGTAACTTCAGACATTGCCTTTTACTCACCATTGCTTTTCCCAGGCTGCAAAGTCAGCTGTCTTCCAATTGGAGAAATGCTATTTAGATCTATGGCTGTAAAACAGGTAAGAATTTCAACTGAAGCATGTATTGCATATGGTTTTGAAACTTAGCAGCATTAAGTTATAATGTTTAATACAACTACACAATTTTGCAACAAAGTTTGGAAGAGATTAGAAAAGGAGTACTGAAAAAAGATAACCATTTTAGCTAATCAAGAGAATTTCAGCACTTTTTTATTCAAAAAAAGCTTAGTGAAGTAGCATCAGCACTGCGCAAATCTTAAGTTTCCTGCAGTCTACTCTAAATTTTTAAAACAAACTCAGTTTATGCTTAGCCAAACAGGCTGTGTTCAAGTAAAACACGTTTCCAGAAAAGCATACAGCCTGGACTTGAAGACAGAGATGAAGAATCCATCACTCTCCGCTTTTTATACAGCTAACGTATTAGACATTTTTCTTTCACCGCTCGCTTTTCCAGGTGTAGGATTGTGGCTTATGTTCTCTATCCAAGAAACGACAACCTTACAATCGATAGTTAAAAACACACTATCCAGAAGCTGCAGCTCCTTGATAATTTTTTTTAACAATTTAGCCTTCTTCCAAAACTTGCAAAAAACCCCAAACACTTTGAGAATTTAGAATTTTAGATTTTAAGAATTGCCTACCAAACTTCATAGCTGACATTTGTCCAGCATGTAATCCATTTATTACGTATTCTCTTGGTTATAAATAAACTTTAATGACACCAGGATAATAAAATCTAATAATGGTGTAAACAAAATACACAACCCTATGTAGAACGACAGTGAGCTAGTAGGACAGTGAGAGGACAAGAGGAATTTATATAGCACGTAAAGGTAGAAAAATATGGAACTCAGTTTCCCATTTACTTATATTGGCAGGAAAGCAATCAGATTTAAGTCAGACATGCAGCTATCAGAAGAAAAGAGCAAAGTAAAAGACTTGGCTATTACCAGAACTGAAAGAGCAAAGTTGTGTATGTAAATTAAGCTGGTTGAAAACAGGCTGTAAAGGGAAAAAGATTTAAGAACAGGAATAAAAAACTAATGAAAAAGGAAAAATTATGAAATATTTTGGATGAATAAATTATTTTTCAACAAAGAAAGCACTTTGAGAGAAAAGCTAAAAATCTATCAGTTGTGCCATCTTTTATCACTGGTTCTTAACATTGAAATGGAGGTTAGTAAAAATTATGCTTGCTAACTCCTCCAAAAGCTAGATACATTAGGGTGGACACAGTAAACCAACTTACATTTAGTTGAATTAAACTGAGACATTTGCTTGCCTTCATGTTGAATCCAAGGAGAAGGAACTATAAGACTTTTTGTGAAAAACTAGAGCAAAACAGAAACAAACCATCTTAACACTTGTAAAAATTGGAGATGTTCAAATTTAGATTAGTACCCTGAACAAGAAAAAAAAAAAAGTTGTATCTCTTGCTACTCTCATATCTCCACTTTAATAATTTTAACTCTTCCTTCCCCAAAACCTATGTTTTTATCCCTTATATTCAAAATATATTTCCTTATTTCAAGCTCAAAGAGATTAAGGAAAAAAATTTGATTTGAAGACCCCCATGTTCTTTATGGCATATACCATGTCATAACTTTCAAGTCTGCAGAGTGAAAATTGTATAAAAGTTTCACTTAGAACTAATTACTGATTTAGAAATTTGAATTCTCCCTACCATACTTACTGCACTGTAGTTCAACATAATTCTTTTCAAATTTTCAGTTTGCTAAACAGTTGTATTTTGACAATTGAGCTATTTTACAGACAAGAGATGCTGCAGTAACAGTAGGAGAAATGGACAACCAAAACTGTTCCGCACTACCATTAGTGTATTTGGCTAAACTGGCTAGCAGTGAAACATGCTACGGGACCTGATAGGATTCACCCATGGGTCCTGAGGGAGCTGGTGGATGAAGAGGGAAGAGATGCCATCCAGAGGGACCTTGACAGGCTGGAGAGGTGGGCCAGTGCCAACCTCATGAAGCTCAACAAGGCCAAGTGCAAGGTGCTGCACCTGGGTTGGCATAATCCCAGGCAAAAATACAGGCTGGGGGAAGAATGGCTGGAAAGCAGTCCTGGGGAGAAGGCCTTGGGAGTAGTAGTTGATGAGAAGCTCGACATGAACTGCCAGTGTGTGCTCAGCCCAGAGAGCCAAACACATCCTGGGCTGCATCAAAAGAAGTGCAGCCAGCAGGGCCAGGGAGGTGATTCTGCCCCTCTACTCTGCTCTGTGCAGACCCCACCTGGAATACTGTGTACAGCTCTGGTGCCCTCAGCACAAGATATAGACCTCTTGGAGAGGGTCCAGAGAAGGGCCACCAAGATGATCAAAGGCCTGGAGCACCTCTCCTATGAAAACAGGCTGAGCTGGGGCTGTTCAGCCTAGAGAAGGGAAGGCTCTGGGGAAGACCTTATAGCAGCCTTCCAGTACTTGCAAGGAGCTACAGGAAAGCTGGGGAGGGGCTTTTCACCAGGGAAGACAGTGATAGGACAAGGGGTAATGGTTTTAAACTGAGAGAGGGGAGATTTAGGTTAGATATTGGGAAGAAATTCTTCCCTGTAAGGGTGGTGAGGAACTGGAATGGGTTGCCCAGGGAGGTTGTGGAAGCCCCCTCCCTGGAGGTGTTTATGGCCAGGTTGGATGAGGTTTTATGCAACCTGGTCTAGTGGTAGGGTTCCCTGCTGATGGCAGGGGTTTTGGAACTTGATGATCTTTAAGATCCCTTCCAACCTTAACGATTCTATGATTTATGAGTACTGGTACTTCAGTCCTTTTCTTTGAACGAGAAACTGTATCTGCTGTCACAGCTGCACTCTAGAACACCCTGATGCTGAGGAATGAACGTTATTACATGGCTTTAAGAAACACATGGGAAATCCTTTTCTCACAATAAAAGCAAAACTCAAAGCAAATGAAAAAAAGCCTCAGCTTGAAATGCTCAACTATTAAAGGCAAATTCTATCAGAGACATGATTTCAAGCTGTTCAGCTGCATAATCCACTAGCTTATCCCTCACAAAGAAGAAATATCCTTATTAATGCAGATTTAGAATAACAGAGTATCTTAGGGGCAGGTCAACTACATAGCCCCTTTATGGAATAATGAAATATATTTTTTTGTTTATAAAGACAAACTGATAGCACCATGGTACAACACAAGAAGGTCACTAACACTAAGGCAGACTTGCCTATCAGAGCATTTTGTTGTTTTTTTTAATTGAAGCTGAAACAACATTGAAGAATTCTGAAGATTTTAAACACTTCACTTTTCCTTCCCTGCTAGGCAAATGAATACTAAAAAATTCACTGAAAAATGGATGAAAATAATTACAAGCTACGAGAAAAAAAAGTCTTGCCTTTAACTAAGCAAACTTTGGAAGAAACAAACAAAAAATAATCAATAAAGTTCTGCTATACTTTTTAAAAATGTAATAAAAGACGCTAAGTTACATAACACTATCGGTTACTGTAAACCCAAAACACTCAATCATTATTTTAACCTTAAATTAACTACTTCTAAGAGTTATCCTATGGCTATATTCCCACTAGCCAAGCAACATGAAAGAAAAAATCCGATGTTTTAACCTACAGGTGTGTGAAAGAAGATGGGAAGAAAAAGATCATGTGGATTCCAACAACAACTGCTACGGATGAGGACACAAAATTAATTTCTTACTGACCAGTAAAATATAAAAGGCTTCTAGGTTTTGAAATCCTATAATAAATGTGGATCTTTTATGTAGGAACATAGCTAAAACAAACCAATACTTGATAGTATAAAGTTTTATTACCTCCTCAATGGCTTTTTGCCTTCTGTCTTCTGTCTCTTTATCAATTCTAAGTAACAAATGAAAAACAACTCAATTATCAAAACCACCACATAAAGTCTAACCATGTAATCTTTTACAGATGTTTAAGGGAAGCATTACAAATGAAATCGCACTAAACCCCCATCTTACTGTGGTTTTACTGTTGTGTGCAATAATCTCACACCATAAATTTAGAAATGCACTTTTCAATTACTTTAGATAATTTGAAATAGACCCGTAACATATCTAAGTACTTATCTGTAAATCTTCTATTTCCTCCTGGTATCAACTAGTATTTTTATCTGGACAAAAACTCTATCATAACCGTTCTTCCAAGGTAATCCATTTAGTTATGTTAAATTCATCATATCAATAGATTTTACTATTTAAGTTGTCATGAGATTAGGCTTACAAAGAATCTCACTACAGAATCAAGTAGAATAAAACAACTGAACTGTAAGGAAGAAAAGGGCAACAGAAAATATTCATTGAACGATTCTGTTCTCAAATTCCTGACATAACCCACTTTCCCAGCAGAGTTCCCCCTTTCAAATAACTAGGTCTGCCATGTTTTCTTCAGTTCATGATACAATATTGTGTTTCAGTTTGGATCAATTAACACATTCTCTTATGAATATTCAACATCAATTTAGCTGAATCACGTAACACTTTCATACAAAGTTTGTATACATGAATTACCCTTAAATAATTTTAAAAATCAGAGAACAAACATTATTAACTACACAAACACATGTGGATGTATCTAACACATAAACTTTCCCTCTCAGCCCTTTTTCTTTGATGCTAACCAGACTTTGAATAGATCTGCAATACTTGGGCACACTATCTGCAACTATGTCTACCTAGACAATGCTAAAGGGACAATTCCATGAAGCACCCTGCACAAAATTCAGTTCTTGTATCAAAAAAATAAGCATACAATCATAGTAAATTTATGTATAGTAGATCATGAGTAATAAGCATTATTACAAGCCAGATTCCAGAGAAGAAACAGGGGAACTGGGAAAACAGATCCCACTTGAAGTGCTGTTAAGTGCAGATGTTTTTTCTTAGTGAATAACACCAGGAAAATGTCATATATATTTAACAAGAATAAAAACAAGAAAGTCTTGTTTGTAACTTCAACCCACAGAGCACTTGCAACTGTGACACATAGTATGCAAAATGAAGTACAGATTTTTAAAATATTTAACATATAATAGTATAGCATCAGATTTAGAAGCATTCAGTATCTACCAGTAGAAGCAAAAATGGAAGAGGAAAGTTTTTGGACAAGACTATGTCACTCTGTCTGCTCAATTACTATTTCTCACTGACACAATGTGCCAGAAGTTATCCTAATAATTTTATTAAGCAGTGCAATAAACACACACCATGCAGATGATGCCCATTTTACAGAAACAGTAAAACTGCACAAAATCAAGTCTACATGTGATACACACTTTAGAGTTTGCAAAATGTTCTTGAAGTTTTACACTGTGCTGCTACCCAAACTGTTTTCACTACGTAAGTGAGAATTTAGCTTGAAATATGTACACACCAAATTTCTTATGCTCGTGGCTCTGTTCAGCTAAGTGAGAAAACTACTTGTTAAGCATTATTAAAATGGAGTACATAGCTTGTGTAACATTATGCATTGGCTTCAAAAACTCATTTCTTTTATGAAGAACTGTTAATGGCAAGAGCTGTATTTATGACACTTCAGTTTCCGTAGGGCAGTATTTATAAATGGAAATTTAAATCAGTTGCCATACAAAATGCTGGACACAGCAAATCTACACATAGACAAATTAGCCTCCTAGTTAAAGAAAATAAATCATAATAGGTATGAAATAGGGGGGCAGACTGAAAAGACCTGTTGAGACAATACATTTATACCTATAGGCCCTGCCAACAGTCATCATTGGAATTGTCACCCAAGCCATCTAAATTTAAGCCACTTTGTATGTGTCCTAATAGGCTTTCAGAAACAACGTAATCAACTCCATAAAAACGCAAGGCTTTGTAAGATATAAAAAGCATTAGTCTGAAACCTACTGGCTATTAGAGAAAGACCAGGAAACAAACAGATGTTAAGAAAAATACTGCCATTAAGACATAATTATTCACAGATACAGCTGGAGAATTACATTCTGTGTAAATATTTCTGTAGCAAGAGACTAATATTCCTTCTTATACCTCTTCCTATTCAAAAAGGGAGATGTAAGTTCAGTCAGACACTAAGAACAATGGGCCTAATTCACAGTATTTTTTGTTACAATGAGGGTGGTGAAACACTGGAACAGGTTGCCCAGAGAGATGGTAGATTCCCCTGCCCCCCAGAAACATTCAAGGAATGGCTGGATGGAGCTCTAAGCAACCTGATCTAGCTGAAGATGTCCCTGCTTACAGCAGAGGGGACTTTTAAATGTCTCTTCCAACCCAAAACATTCTATGATTCCATGAATATTCATAGGACTTTTGCCCTAAACAGCCCTCTATCTGTGTTTCATTGCACTAATAGGACTTGAAAGTCTTACAGGCATAAACAGGATGGAGGACTGAGAATTGTTTTATATTCAGTTAGTGTTGTGCTTCATGCCACAAGGTGCAACTGTTTGTGAAAGGTCCTATCTACAAAATGTATGTGAGTGTCTATAGGATTCACCACTGTGGTCTTCCCTTAGCTACCTTCACTTGCCACATCATTCTGTACTATTAGTGTATTAAACTATGCCTCAAGATGAGCTGTGAATACCAAGCCTGTTTTACTTACTCATTAGTTTTCCCCATGGAAATTCTTTTCAGAGAGAGGAGAAAGCTAAGATCAGGGTCCCCAGATTATGCCAAGTAACTAGCAGTCTCCTTCTCAAAACAGGAAGCTTACTGGTCTTGCCTCCTACACATTAATTCCGATCTATACCTCTCAAAACTGGCTTTACATAACCCACTTTCCCAGCTCTATCTTTCTGCAAGAGTTCCAAAGACCGAAGAAGCAGCTTCATAGGTCTCAGCATAGAACACTTGGAGAAGATACACTGAGTGTTGTTACAAGGATCAGAAAAGGTAACACATGGTAACAATCTTTGGCAAGACATTTTTTTTTGCTTCTGCTGACTGCTTTCATCTGGCTGTCTTCCAAACTGCACTCGGTGGATCAACTGTTCTTAACATGAAGGAAGAGCCACACACAGGTGGCATCATCTAAGTATTAGATCCGCATTAGAGAAACAGAAAAACCTATGTAACAAAAGTTGAATAATAAGTCTGTCATGCTGTGCTGAAACGTCAATAAAACAAAATAAATGTTCTAGCATTCAAGCTAACTTTACTGCATAAAAACAGATGGGAAGTTACCTAGCATGACTCAAATACATTGCTTGGCGTCGAACATCTTCAGAGTCAATTTCCACAGGATTTATTAGAGCAAGCTGATCAATAGACCATCTAAATTTTCCTGGTGTCTAAAAAAAGAAACAGACATCTTAATGCTTGCTAGTCTAAAAAGATAAAAACAAAATCACAGAAAAAATCTCAATGGACCCATCACTTTCATATAGTTTCTGTCCAAGACAACCAGAAGAGTTTCTATTTAAACTATCTACTTAAAAAAAACATGAGTAAGTCAATCAGGCTTCTTCATCCTGGCAGTGGTACTACAATGATTTATAAGATAATATAAAGTGGAAGGTTATAGCCGATATTTATTACTAACTGAAATTTTAATTTCTTCTCAATTTTTGAGGCCAGATTCACTAGTGACACAGAACTTTGGATAAAATTTAGTTGCTTCTAGATTGCCAAAACTGTGGTTTCATGAAAGTCCAGTGTCAATACCTAACCCAAATAATACCCACACAAATAACAGAACAGCCTTCCTTTTCCCTCACATTTCCAAGACAACTTAGGAGTTGCAACGCCATTGCATCCTGCAGTTTCCCTCAGAATGCCATGCACAGTGCACAACAAAACCCAATTCAGAAAGCAGCTTCAACTCTTTAACACCTAACTACAAAATACTGCTCAAGTATGTCTGAAAAATTACCTATCAAGTGAGCCTTTTTAGTTTCATTGTTACAACACCATCTCTACTGTGAAGAAGAAAATAATTTCAACTGCAAACCAAAATGTAATATACAACTAAAAATGTTATATACACACAAAATCATTAACTTGATTCTGTGAATATGCAAACAGTTTATTACAGAAGTGCACTTATGTTTTACTTGCATCCAGCCTGCTTAGCATATAAGTAGGAAGTGGGACAAGATCACCACATCCATCAATTGCCAACAATTTTGGCACTTAGGGGGTTTATGCTAATCTACTGAAATACCTAATGTCTAAAAAAAAAAAGTAAGTGAGGAAGGTAGGAACACTAAGTGACAACTTTAGTAGTAAAGCAGCTTATTTCTGTAATCAGAAGAAGCAACAAAAGCTACCCAAAATTCTTTGGCTTAGTATATACCTTAAATACACAAAGTAAAATAGACTTTTAAATGCATTTCAAAATATTAGCTGTACATCTGCACAGTTACACAATTAAAGACTAGATCTTACAGATGAGGATTTTGTTGCTTTAAAGATTGAAGGACTGGAGACAATCTGCTCCTGAAGAGTATAATAATCACTTGGACTTTCAAAGGGATTCAGGACTGGGACTCTTCCTGGAGTTTCTGGTGTTATCTGCATTTTAGCTTCTTTTGTGTCACCCATATCAGTATGCTACACCTGGAAGAGAGAGAGAGGAAAAATTAAGAAAGAAAAACAAAGAAGTTTCATTTTGACTTTTTAGGATAATCCTGAAGGCTTCGGAACTACTAAAAACTAAGTTAACTTTGCCTTGGACCTCCTGGCATATGAAGCTGATAAATAAGGCTGATACGAAGAACCACTAGAATAAACAGAACCTATAAAAACGAGAGAAGAAACGACACTTAAAAGGTAATTTTAAAAAAAGAATAAACCACATAACACAATAATCAATCAACAACAAAAAAACCAACCAAACAAAAAAACATACACACACAAAAACAACAAACAGAGGAAGAGAAAAAACGGAGATAAAGCCAAATCTATTCCTGGGGGGCAGCTCACACCCCAAACGCTGCCACTCAAGGGCTTCAGAAAGGAAGAGGCATTCCCGGAAGGCGGGCAGCACCGGGAGGGTCTCCCCCTCAGTCCCCCCAGCCCCGCGTCACCCACGGGCTCAGAAGGAGCCGGCATCCACGGGCCCCCGCCGCTCCCCACCCCGGGCAGCCGCAGAACCTTCTGGCACCGGGCAGCAC